ATGCCCACAATTCAGAAAATGAACATGGATGATCAGCGTCAGTCAGTTGGGTTAATATCCAAATGGGTGACACCAAGAAGCCTTTGTAATGTGTGTCATGTGGTTAAACGTCAGAAAAAAGATAATTATGGGGGATGTGTATCTGTCAGGAAAAGAGAGCAGTCCTAGCAAACCCTAATGAACAGAAGAGGCGCTAGTGGTGGTGGTGGGGTGTGAACCCCTCGTTCTTGGTCAGAGCTAATGTGCCAAAGCCGGCCTCTGCTTGGCACTGGAGGGTCAGGCTGTGTCCAGCACCAGCGAGCCTGGCTGGGCCTTGTGCACACCTGGGAGGAGGGGACAGTGGCACCAGGGGATACCCCACATCGCCCACTGGGCTGCAGTAAGAGCTCTCACATGTCCCTCCCTGAGCCTCCTGCCTGTGGGTCTGTTCCCAAGAGGCCAGTGTCACTGATCCCCATGAGCCCAAGGTCCCAATGGACACACAGCACAGTCATTTTGGGAACAGGAAACAGATGGGGATGCCACCACATCTTCCCTCACCTGTGACCTTGATGTGCAGAGGGGCACTGGGCTGTGACCACACGTTGGGGTAGGAGCTGGAAGAACCATAGCATCTGTAGGACCCCCCATGGGAGGTGCTCACAGGGCCCAGAGGGAAGATGGCTTGGGCCTTTGACCTGCCAGCATGCATCCTCAGTTCTGCTTCCATGTGTTGGGGTGGGTCAGCCCCTCCCTCCTTCAGCAGATGGAAAGGGCCCGATGTGAACTGTGAGCTACAGGAGAGGGACACGTTCCCTCCTGAGGCCACCACAGGGCTTGGCTGGGCTGAGAGGGAGGGTGCAGGGTACATTCCTGTGGAAGGAGAAAGGGTCTGTGTTAAAGGGACCGTCACGCTCAGGCCCAGGTGTGTTCTGTGAGAGGTGAGGTCCTCTGAGCCCACACTTTACTCCCACTGCCTGTGACCTGGAGCCCACAGTGGGGAGGGGACCGGTGTCTCCCTTACCTGTCACCACCAGGAGTAGGGGTTCACTCCGATGTGACGATATGTTCCCAGTGGTGTAATATGCACACTGGTACAGCCCTGCGTGGGATGGGGTCGTGGCTTCAATGAGGAAACAGGCCTTTCTATCCACGGAGCCAAACCGGTTTCGGCTGCTGATCAGTTTTAATTGACAAGATCTGCAGGCTCATTTCACAGCTGGTTACAGGATGGTTGATGGGTGGATTCCCAGTTCTGTCTTGAGATTTAAGTGAAGTGGGGAATGGATTAGTGGCCATGGAGAAGCGCCCCTCCCCCTGGGTCTGGGAGATGAAGAAGTGGTCAGGAGGGAGCAGGCTTCCCTTTTCCTGGCTGAGACGCTTTCTCAGGCAGGGGAGGAAGTGGCTGAGTCTTGGGAAATGAGGAACACAGTTGAGCAACCCCTCAGTGGTGCAGCCACCTTGCGTCCTGTGGTTGGTCCCCGTCTGGGAACTTTGGGGCTCAGTCAAGTGCACAGTGACAGTGGCCGGGCAGTAGGCCCTCACTTGGCCCGAGGTTGCCACTTGCATACTTACTGCCTCCATGGCAGTTCCCTGGGACCCTTGCAGTCATCGGGGTCCCGGTGGTGGGGTCTGTAGGTCAGCTGAGTAACGATGCAATTCCTGGAAGCAGTTAACTTCCAGAAAGTCCCAGGAGCTGCTGGGGGCACGTCAGGTCTCCAGGCTGGCAGGGGTCACTACCTGAGTGTCCATGGCGGCAGCTTTCCCGTCTTTTAGGGTCCCTGCAGGGACCTCCCTGGAGTGTGGGGTCTGGGTCTTTGCTGGGCTAGTGCATGGCCAGAGCAGCATACAAGCTGGGCTCTTCTGGGGGCCCCTCTGATGGGGAGGAAGTGGGTGCACTTGACTTCTGGCTGAGGGTCAAGGGCTTGAGCTGGGCGTAGGTCACATCCTGGGAGTCTTCAGGTGCAGCCCGTGGGTCTTTAGCCTGTGGTGGGGAGAATGAAGACGCGTGTTTGGGGTGGGGGAGCCTGAGGCCAGGGAGGAAAGGACCCAGTCCTGGGGCCTTAGTGGCCAGGGCTCTGCTGGTCACAGTGAGGGGTGGTCTCCTTGGTTCTAGTCTTGCCCTGCACCAGTCATCGTGTCTTTGGGGGTCTAGGGGAGGAGGGATGGAAGGTTGGAAGGTTGGAGGTGTGAGTCTGGTGCTGGGGAGACAGGAATTGGGAGCCGTCACCTTGGGGGGGACAGACCCCACTGCTGCCCTCAACAGAGTGCCATCCATTCCCTAGGGCAGTGATGGCGAACCTATGACACGCGTGTCAGAGGTGACATGTGAACTCATTTTTTTCGTTGATTTTTCTTTGTTAAATGGCGTTTAAATATATAAAAC